GCAGCCGCCGGTGCCCACAGAAGGCAGTGCCCCTTCCCGTCGGGGAACCCGTGCCCTCCCCCACCAGCCTGTTGTCGGGGCTGCAGGCTGAGCGCCCTGGAGAGCCTCGGTGCCACAGGAAGTGAGTCAGGGCAGCTCTGAAGGCGGCGGCGGGCGCTGAGCGTGGGGCCCCCTCCCTCGCTGGACACCTTTCCGGGGCCGTTTGGGCCGGGGCCAGCTGATGCCCTTTCCTAGGTGGCCGGCTGGCATTTCTGTCGGAGCAGGGAGCCCGAGTGTGAGTGGTTTGGTGGAAAGGCTGGGGCCTCCGGGCCTCGCCACACCACCCGCTCGCTGGCTGTGGGGTGGCCGGTGGCGGCAGGTCAAGGAGTGAGCAGGCCAGCAGGCGGCTGTCCAGGGGGGCTGGGAGGGGCCCGAAGAAGGGCCCAGGCTATATGCCAGGGGCCGGTGACTCCCTCCCACCCCGTCACTGTCACGTGAGCGGACTGGTGTTAGACCACTGGGAACAGCAAGCCAAAGGCCCCTGAGGGTGACGGGGTGCGCTCCAGAGGTGGCCAGAGGGGCTGGGTGCAGCGGGCAGATCAGCAGGCCTGTGGGGCCATGGGAAGGAGCGTGGGGTTCGGACTGGGCATGAGGCTGTTCTGAGTCTGCCCCCCATCTGCAAAAGAGCAGGAGGAGAGGGACAGCCGGAGCGGGGAGACGCATGGGGCTGGGGCCACTGCCTGACAGAGTAGAACAACTGAGGGCGGAAGGGAGACGATGTGATGGACAGCCCTGGAGACGACGGCCGGCTCTGTTCCGAGCTGCCCACGGGAGCAAGCCCCGCTGCTGAGCCAGGGGTTCCTGGCTGGCACAAGGGAGGGAGGCCTGGGCCCAACCAGGACTCAAATCCAGCCTCACCATTGCATGCTGTTGACCTTGGATAGATTTGTAAGTCTCTCTGGGCTTGGGTTTCCTCCTCTGTCAAAGGAGGACTCTATTCAGAGGAGGAAGTGGAACAGAGCACAGCTGGCGGAGTGCAGTCTGGACTTGTCAGGCTGACCCCACCAAGACTCCATCTGGCAGGGTCCTCATTGCCACCCCATTGAACAGGAGCAAGTGGAAGCTCAGAGAGGGCAAGCAGCTTGCCCAGAGTCGCCTAGTTAGAAAGTAGCAGAGGCTGGTACTGAGGCTGACGAACTCTTCTCCCCTTGGACTTCCCACGATGTGGGCCTCTCCCCAGGTCAGGGAGGTGGAGCCTGAGCCAGCTCAGCTCCTGCACCTGCTGGGCCACCCTGAGCCCTGGTCCCTGTGGTGTGCTGGTCCCTGGGTTCTGGCTGAGATGTCCACCCTGGCTTCGTCCCTTGTGAGACTCCTGTGCCCGTTTTCCAGCCTAGAGGGAGGAAGGGGCTCGCCTTGTCTGGGTAGAGCTGGGCTCCAAGCCAGGCCGTGACCCACCCTGCTCCTGCCCGCTCTGCTCTCAAGAAACGCTGCCTCCGCGAGGTCCAGGGCGGCCTTGGGAGTCTCAGGGGCCCTCCCTTGCTGGCTGCCCACCCCGTGCCAGGCCCTGGGAGGCTCCTGGTGCACCTTGCAGGGGCCAGAGCTCCACACTGCTGTGGTCGTCAAAGCAGCGGCTCTGAGCTCCCCACCCCGGGGGACAGGAGCTGGGTTGGCCCGTGGGCCCAGGGCTTCCCCGGGGCACCTCCATTTCCCCCCCAGTGCCCTTCCTGCTCTGCCCGTCTGAGCTGGGTGGGTGAAGCTCCCCTCCCAGAGCCTGGAGGGAAGGGGGAGGAGTCTGTCCTCAGACAACCGACTGCACTATTCTGGGAGCTTGCACTGAGCCTAATTCCGGGGCGCGTGGGTGGCTCCAGGCTAAGAGCAGACCCCGCGATGCCACGGAGGCCGCCAGCCCCGACCTGGCACTTCCGGGACTGGGCGGACTCATCCTCCTCGAGTGTGGCTCGTGGGCGCGGGGGTCCCCTCTGGTCACTTTCACCCAGGTCTGCAGGCCCCCAGGAGGACCCCACATTTGCAGAAGGGGCAGAGTCTGCTGTGGACCCACGGTGGCTCTGGGGACAGCAAGGCTCAGGGAGACACCGTGGCCTGTGGACCCTGGCATCAGGGCCTGGGCCTCCCTTCTGACGGGCATTACCCTCCTGGCTCAGGACAAGCCCTGAGTGACCCAAGGCGAAGCCAGGAGGGAGCAGCCCCAGATGCCTCCTCTGCACCCATCCTTCAGTTCCCATGGCGACCCTGAGCAGCAGGCAGAGGGCTCAGGTGAAGTGTGCAAGGTCACACGGCTCACAAACGGGGGGCTGGGCTTGCACGCTGGCCGGGGCCCAAAATATGTAAAATCTGTGCATATGTAAAATGAGCGCCTTCTTTAGAGGGCCTGTATCTTTACATATGAAGCATCTTCTGAATCTATATATACAATTACATGTTTAAAGCTGCGTATATAAACATTCTGTCTATGCAGGTGATAAATATATAAATATAGGCCATCTATGCTTAGAAAAAATTACATACTTATGTTCACACGTATCTTATATGCATCATACATGTTCTTGTACATGCGTGGGTATATGTACATACGTGCACATACGTACACGTATTGGCATGTGTTTTTCAGAACAGTTTCGTTGGGCTGGGGGTGGGGCTCAGAGGTAGAGAGCTCTCCCAAAGCCAAGCCCCTCCAGCTGCGCTGACGCATGAGTCATACCACACGATTCGTCCCTGGGAAGCATGCGACTGCGTGGCTTCCGCATAGTCTCAGCTGTGTGCCGCCATCGCCACAGTCTCAAGATGTCCTCGCGACCCCCAGTGAAGCTGCAAGGCCCTGGCCCTCATCTCAGCCCCACTCACCCCCCACCAGCCCCTGACAACCAACCACTAGTCCTCTTTGCCTCCGTGGATTGGCCTGACTTTTCATGGAAGCCAACTCTCATAACCCACAGGCTTTTGTGTCTGGCCTCTTTCCCTCGGGACAGGGTTTTCAAGGTCCGTCCACGTGCAGCATGTGTCGGTGCTTCATTCCTTTTTATAGCTGAGTAATATTCCACCATAGGGCTGGACCACAATTCCTTTATCCTCTCCACAGTTTAAAGGACATTGGGTTGTTTCTACCTCGGGGCTCTTCTGAATACAGTTGCTACAAACACGAACGCACACATTTCTGTGTGCACATTTGTGTCCATTGTCTTGAGTGTGTGCCTGGGAGCTGGCTCGCTGGGTTGCAGACAGTTCGCTGTAGGAGGAAAGGTCAGGCTGGTTTCCAAGGGGCTGCATCATGGCAGGTCCTGCTGCAGGCAAGGCAGGAGGCCCAGCTCCTCCACGTCTCCCAGCGCTCGCTACCGCCTGCCCTTTTGCTGTTGCCACCCTGGTGGGCGTGAAGTGGCACTTCTGCAACGACGGGCCATGTTGAACGACTTCCCACGTGCCTCTCCGCCACCAGTGGTGTCCCGCTCATGGAAAATGTCTGCCCAGGTCCTCTGCCCAGTTTTAAATTTATCTCTTCAATGTTGAGCTTTAGTAGTTTTTTGTAGATTCCAGATACAAGTCCCCTATTTGATTACAGATGTCTTATATATATACTGTCTACGTACAAATAGATCTAAACACGTACAAAAATTCCCCCCTGATCCCTCAGTCACCTTTTCTTTCCCTTGACAGTGTCCTTTGTGATTTTGATGTCACAGCTAAGAGATGACTGCCTCATAAAGACTTATTCCTGGGGTTTTTGGGTTTTGTGTTGATTTTTGAAGAATGAGGATTGAATGACCTTGGGCGTTCTGGGTGGGCGCTGTACCACTGAATGACACCCCAGCCCCTCCCGTGTTTTCTTGTAAGTTTTATAGTTTGAGTTCTTACAGTCAAACCTTTGCTCCATTTTGAGTGGGATTTTGTACGGGTCCTGAGGTTGAAGTTCAATGTCATTCCTTTGCATGGGGAAGTCCTGTTATCCCAGGACTATGTCTTCCGCGTGGATCTGTCTCCACTCCCGGTCCAATGTCAATCAACACGTGAATGGAATTCCAATTTCACTCCTGTGATCTCTATGTCTGCCCTCCAGTGCGTGCGATGGCTATTCTGGTTGGATTGCTGTGGCCTTCTAAGAGGTTCTGAAATTAGGAAGTGTGCGTCTCCCGCTTTTACTCTTCTTCAAGATTGTTTCTGCTCTTCTAGGTCCTTTGCGTTTCCACACGGATTTTAGCCTCAGCCTGTCAATTTCTGCAAACAAGACAGCTGGGATGTGACTGGGTTTCCTTGAGTTTGTGGTTCGTTTTGGGGAGCCCTGCCGTCTTGGCAAGGTTATGCCTTCCAGTCCGCGAACAGGGACGGTCTTCCATCTATTTACAGCTTCTTTACTTTCTTTCAGCCCTGTTCAGAGTGGAAGTCTTGCACTCGCTTTCCTGGGTGCATTCCTAAGTCTTCGTTCTTTTTGGTGTTATTGTAAACTTCACTGCTGTGTAGACAGCAGAACTGATTTGTAAACCGCTCTGATTTACGCCTTGCCACCGTGCGCAGCTTACTTACGGTCCGGTTGTGTGTGTATTTGGGACTTTCTGTGTGTAACATCTTGAGTCTGATTTGGGAAAAGCACTTGCTCTTTCACCCTGGAGTGTGCTGTTGGCTGTGGGTTTCTGCTGAGGTCCGTTATTCGGCTTCCGTGTGGGGAGTGGTTTTCTCATGCATGGGCGTTGGAGTTTGTCAAATGATTTTCTGGATAAATGCCTTCTCTTGAAACGTCCCAGCAGACCCGTCCTTCTTTCTGAGGGTGAAAAGTCAAATGCAAAGCCTCAACGCTATTTGCCAAATCACTGCTTGGGCCCGGCCCCATCGCCCCCCCAGGAGAAGGCGTCTGTTAAGATGCTGGTGGTGTCCGCAGTCGCCACCCGCTGCTCCTTCCCGGCGGGGGGTGCCTTTCTCTGTCCTGGATACCCCCTCCCAGGAAGGAGACCACAGCCCTGCGAGGGCGGTGAGGGATGCGCTGGCCCCGGCCCTGACCCCCGCTCTGCCCCCAGGCCTACGAGAAGCGCTTCCCCACCTGCCCGCAGATCCCAGTTTTCCTGGGCAGCGAGGTCCTGGGCGAGTCCCGCAGCGCGGACGGGGCAGTGCACGTGGTGGAGCGCAGCTGCCGGCTGCGCGTGGACGCCCCGCGGCTGCTGCGGAAGGTGGGCGGCTGGGGCTGGGGTGGGGTTGTGGGGGGTGTGTAGGGGGTGGTCTTAGGGTGCAGAGTGGGGCCCAGACTGGTGGAGGTGGACCGGTGGGCGGCAGGGTGGGTCCGCAGGTCCAGGTTGGCGAGGGATCTAGGAGCAGGCACCGGGTGTCCGGGAGCCACCTGGGTGGTGGGGGCCACCCGGGACTCGCGCCTCTCTTTCCTCTGGTCCTCCTCCTCCTCGGGCTGTTGGTCCCCCTGCAGATCGCAGGCGTGGAGCACGTGGTCTTCGTGCAGAAAAACGTGTTGAACTGGAGGGAGAGGACGCTACTCATTGAGGCGCACAACGAGACCTTCGCCAGCCGCGTGGTGGTGAAGGAGAACTGCAGCTACTCGGTGAGCCGCCCGGCCTCCCCTCCTGCTCCCTCCCGCGCCGGCAGGTAAGACAGGTGCCCTGCGCGTGTCCAGCTCAGATGAAAAACCCATTTTTTTCCCTCAGTGTAAGTATGCTTCAGTCTTGTTTGGGATATATTTACACCAAGGCATTGAAATTCCAAGGTGACTGGTGTCTTGTATTTTATCCACGAAAACTGGCAGCCTTCAGGGATCTGTGGCTCGGTTTCTGCATCTGTAGGGTGGGGTTGATAAGTGCGCCCACCACATAGGGGTGGTGAGGGCTACAGCAGGTGAATCGTCGCTCTCCAAACCCCTCAGACCAGTGCCTGGCACCACTGAGTCCCATGTAAAGATGGTTAGTTTTAGCAATCATAGGTATTATTCTGTGAGCGGCTGTGGAGTGCCGGGCACCCTGCCCAGTGCTGGCACCGGGAGGTGGACGGGTCTGCCTGCTCACTGTCCTCATGCACCTTCCACTTCAGTGGGCCGTGCAGGTGGGAGAAAGCAAGACCCCTGCTAGGAAGGACGCAGCAGATGGCAGGAGGGGTGCCCAGGGTCCCTCGGCTGCTTAGGAGGTGTCACCGAGGCTGAGAGCTGAATGTGGAAGGAGCAGGCGCCTGAGGGCTGGGAGCAGAGTTCTGGGCTGGGAATGGCCTGGGTGACGATCTGAGGGGTCCAGGCGAGGCTGTGGGGCCAGGTCCTGCTACCACAGGGCTGGAGTGAGGAGTCTGGAAGGTGTGGCTGGAGGGGACCTGTTCTGCCACTACCGTGCAGCCTGGAGGAGTAGCTGCCCTTCCCAGGCCACACCATCCACATCTGTGAAATGGGCATAGGCAGATCCTGTCTGGCAGGTCCTCGGGTTGCTGGGAGGACCCAGTAGTTAAGGTGGGTCAGGTCCCAGGCTGGATCCCAAGTGGCGATCCTCAGGATGGCCACACAGCGTGGCAATTGCAGAGCATGTCGGTGTTTTCCACAGTCTTCGCCCAGCCTTCTGGGCGGAGGGCTCTGCCCATCCATCTGCCACTTGGTGCTTCATATGAGGAGGCACCCATAGATGCCTGTTGCTTTTCCTTTCTGCACCTCCAGCCCCTCTTGGGACCTCCTGGAGATGGGGCCCAGGATGTTGAGGCTCCTGTAGGCACCTGTTGTTGTTAACCACAGTGACCTCTGCCTCGGCAGGCCAGCTGGACCCAGGCTGCCTGTGGATGTGGGTTCCCCAGCCCTGGCCTGCTCCGTGGGGCAGCCCAGGACCTGCACATTCTGCAGCTGCCTGGGGAGCTCTCGGGAGCACTAGGTCCTGGCCCCCGTGGTCTCCACCAGTGTGTTTTCTTTATTGACATCTGTGCATCTGTGGATATACAAGGACACTTAGAAAGTACATCCTTGTATATAAAATACACATGTAAATATCTAACATACAACATGTAACTATTTAAGATATCTTAAACTCATATATAATGTTGATATGTAATTTATTCATACACTTATGTAAGGGATGTATTATACGAAACATCATTTACATATAATTTTTTGGAGGTGCTGGGGATGGAATCAGGGCCTCACGTGTGCTGGCGAGTGCTCGATCCCCAGCCTGTTTGCACATAATTTTATGGTCTGTGTGTATTTTTAAGGGGCAGGGGCCCAGCTATCAGGCCACACTCTCTGGGCCCCCATGAGCCAGCTCTCTGCTCCCTAACACCTCAGACTTTGCATGGTTCCGGGAGGGGGCCCCTGGGTGTGGCTCGGTGGGACGTGCTGTCCACTGCAGGTCTGCCTGGGGAGAGCCCCTGGGGAGGCCAGCAGCCCCACAGTGAGACCTGGCATTCCTGCGCCTGGCTTCCAGGTCCACCCCGAGAATGAGGACTGGACTTGCTTCGAGCAGTCGGCCTCGCTGGACATCCGGTCCTTCTTTGGCTTTGAGAACACCTTGGAGAAGATCGCTATGAAGCAGTACACGGCCAACGTCAAGAGGGTGAGAGGGCCCGAGGGCCCGGGAGGAGGGCGCAGACCCACCCTGACCTTGGCGACCCCTGTGACACTGGGGAGAGCCCTAACCTTCCTGGGCCTGTCTCCCCACCTGCCAACGGGCGCTCTAGGGCGGCCTTGTCACTGAGACCAAGGACAGAGAGCTGGCTGCAGTAGGATGCCCTGGTCACTGTCCCCGTACCCGGGGATGTGGGGGCCCTGCAGTGAGCTCAGTGCGCAGAGGAGGGGCATTCTGCAGAGCCTCTTCCTGGCTAAAACTGTCACTGCTGGGCTGGAGACCTCAGGCCCACCCTGTGATCGCCTATTACATAATGACACAGGTGACATGAACTTATTAGTGTTTTATATAAAACCCTGCTAGTTGGGGCCGCCTCCGCACTGAGGTGAAGCCCGGCGTTGGACAGCACCCCTCCGTCCCTACCGGTCGCGTTTCGGCCCCCAGTAGGCCACTGTCCGCGGAGGGACCCAGCCAGGTGCGCCAGTGAGGTGACCCCGCCATTGTGTCCCCAGGGGAAGGAGGTGATCGAGCACTACCTGAAGGAGCTCATCTCCCAGGGCACCTCTCACATCCCCCGCTGGACGCCCGCCCCAGTCCGGGAGGAGGACGCCCGCAGCCAGCCCGGATCCCGGCAGGCGGAGGGGACCCTCAGGACCCTGGGCCCTGCCTCGGAGGCGGTGGGAACTGACGGTAGGTGGCCGCTGCTCTGCCCTGGCCCCGGTGCTGGGAAGCGTCCCGCCCGGTGGGAGGAAGAGGGAGGAGCAGCGCGGAGGGTCTGGGTCCTGCGTGACCTCGGACTCCTCCTCCGTGCCCCCTCCACCCCCGGCTCCGCCCCTGCTGACCTGGGCGCACCGCGCTGCCTGGGATTAAATTACCCGAGTAATGCATGATCGTGGTAGAAAAAACTCAGACCACTCAGAAGATGGGCAGTAGGAAGTATGCCTTCCTGCTCCCTGGAGGCCCAGCGGAGGCCTGGGTTTCTATTTGGCGAGCTGCTGCGGTAGGTGTGCGGACCTGTGATGGTGGACACCCGCACACACGTGCGCACCGTTGTCCATGCCTGTGTAACACGTCGAACCTAACTCGTGGGGCGCATTCTGTAACCCCCTGGATGTTTTGATGTTTCTCATCTGCGCTGGATGCGGCTGGTTACTTTTCCTGGCAGCGAGGAGGCCTTAACAGTTCACGGTATCGTGATGCGGTTCCCTAACTCGATAATAAACATCGACTATTTGCTATTTTAATTTGGCCTATTTAGATGGTCCCCGATGGATGGACATTTAGGTTGTTTCAGTTTTTTTAAAGAATACAAATAGTGATCTGGGTGTGGTGGTGCGCACCTGTGAGCCCAGGAACTGGGGACAGGCGGAGGATCACAGCCTTGGGAAGAGGACCCCACGATCCAGGCCAGCCCCGGCCGCTGGGTGAAGCCCTAAGCAACGCAGTGAGGCCCTGTCTCAAAATCACACAAAAAGACCTGGGAGGCAGCTCAGTGGTAGGGCACCTGCCTCGTATGCGTGAGGCCTTCCTGGGTTTACTAGGCCCCAAGTTTGATCCCCAGCGTCTCTCTCTCTCTCTCTCTCTCTCTCTCTCTCTC